CCCTATATATTTTGGCAACAAACTCATGGAAGAGTTTTACATGGAACTTGTTGCGTTAATTTTGGTCATGTAAGTCGTACATTGATGAACTGTAGCCTTTTTTAATGAGATTCCCCGTTCATTTCGTCGATTCGAGTTTAGAATTCGAGTTTTACTACAGTAAAAAGCTCTCATAAACAATTACATCTAACTTTTTTACTACAGTAAAAAGCTCTCACATAAAGTCACATCTCAACTCGAATTAAAAATTCGAATTAACGAACTGAACGGTTGTATCAGTCAATTTTGCTTGTGATTAAAAAAAAAAAAAAAAAAAAAAAAAAAAAAAAAAAAAAAAAAAACTCATGTTTTTTATCCTTTAAACAAACCCATTTTTTATTCTTTTCTCATTGAAAATTTTCTGCTTTTTTTCATACAGTTTAATCGGGATATATCTATATGGCAGTCAATCTGTTATATACATAAGACTGTATGGCAGTCAATCTGTTTAATCTGTTATTATTCTCATTGGAATTCGCTTGAATTTGATTTTAAGAATAATAAGAAAGTCCACAGAAATTGCTAATTAGAACTATTTTTTTGAAAATTTGTTAGAGATGAAGTCGCCACATTATAAGTTGAACGAAATTGCATGCTTCGCTCGCCACAATAATAGTAACAAATAAACAAATAAATATTGCGTATGCTTTTCCATTTTCCAGTCATGTAAAATGACTGAATTCCATGGCTTTGTAAAAGGCATGTAGTTGGAACCTGAATAAAGAAAAAAGACCAGGAGTATCCAATACAGAAACCTAACAGTAAAAGAATATTGGTTTCTTTACTCAAAGAAACAAAAAAAAAAAACAAAAGAATATTGCTTTCCCACGTAATTATATATAGACAGAAGTTGTTATTTTAGCTATTATCTATTACAACAATTCGTAGGAAATTAATGCATTTTCCAAGAGTTATAATAACGAGGATTAACACCCTAAGAAAAAGAGTTATCAAGTATATTAAAGAAATTTTAAGGAACGCTCGTGATCATTAATATAGTATGGTCTATATAGACTTTAACAATTTGCATTACATGGTGCTAATTTACTTCCTATAATAGGTTACAGAGATTTTTTTTTTTATCTTAAAAAGGGATTCGAATCCTACACCTTATAAGTGGAGTTAATTACAGTATTACCGCTAAACTAGACATGCAACCTCATAAAGAAATCTTCTAAACTAAATAAAAAAAAAAGGGAAATAGTAGAAAATAAGCCAATATAAAAGCTTAAAAAAGTATATAGGTCAATTTTTAGTTATAAAAATTAATAGGCCATAATTTATCAAGTTATTGTTCATAACCAGATAAGTTATGGACAAACTTGTTAAATTATGATTCATAGCCAGACAAGTTATGGACAATTATGAACAATAACTTGTCAAGTTATGGTTCATAACCAGACAAGTTAGATAAGTTATGGACGAAAACAGTAATTTGACCTATTTATTAACTTATGTAAACTATTGGCCTATTAATTTTAATTCATCTCTGGCCTATTTCCCTTTCTCCCTAAAAAAAATAACCAACTTTGAGAAGTCCTTCAATATATATATATATATATAGTCATGTAACAATAATACACTAATGAACATCATTTTTGTTGCCCTCCAAAAAAGAAAAACCTAGTAATATGAGTTGTCAAAAGCTAGAGGTAGGCCATTCACTTTGTGTAGGCTTTACTTTATCCACTAATATTAATCAAAATTGCGTTTTATTTAATTAGGCAATCCGTGGTCAATAAAAATGCAACATCTTCGTTAGGGAAAAAAAAAAGTAGATAAAAGAAGAGTGAGAATATCCATGTTGATATCAAATAAATAATACAGGTAACATATATATATATATATATATATAATGTCAAAAACACCAGCAACGCATAATTTGTTGTGTGTGTGTATATATAACTATATATAATATAATTACATATGTATAACAATTTAAACGTGAAGTGCAAGCCATGAGTTTTGGCTTTCGTGGACATGTGCTAATTTATCATCACCTCAAATCAGAAGTCTCAAACTTTCTGTCATCTATGGCTGGTACCGCGGCACAAAGCATTATTTTGGGCATCAAATATGTCCTATTACAAAAGCTTCTAAGCATAAAATGAAGATGCAAAAGGAAAAATGAAAACAGCCCATTTACGACACATCTTATAAGCACGTCTTCTTCACCTTTTTTTTTTTTTTTTTTTCCCTGTGCATGTGTTGTATGAGGACCTACGTTTTTCAATTCTCACAACCCACGTGAAATTATGATAATGCCATTCTTTGAAAATACCTTTGAGTTGAAATTGTTGTACAAGTAATTAGAGGTATAATCTAGCTATAAATTTGCACTTGACTCCACTATAAAAAAGAGAAAAAAAAAAGAAAAAAGATTAAGAAGCAGAGAGTTGTTGTACATATGTTTTTAGTTAGATCTACGCTTTAAATCATCTAATGAAAAATTAAATTTAAAAAAACTTTAAACAAAATAGTTCGAATCGGATGTGGAGTTCACACGCACAGTCGCACATCGAATGATCCGATTTGGGATGTGAGAGAATGTGCTCGTTTAGTTCGCTGATTCGAGTTTTTAATTTGAATTGAGATGTAACTTTATGCGTGAGTTTTTTTACTGTAGTAAAAAAGTTAGATGTGACTATTTTCTAAGAGCTTTTTTTCGTAACAAAACTCGAATTCTAAACTTAAATCGGTGAAATAAACGGGACTCTAAATGTGTATGATGTCTCTCTGACTGAAACAACGATATTAC